CGAGGAGGAGGCCCATGAGCTTGGATATGGAACACCCAGACAATCGTGCTCCCCACAAAAAAGGACCATAAGATCTCTTGCAACTAGGAGAGAACACATACAAAAGAGCTTCAAGAAAAGGGCAGAGGCATAACTGCCAATGTAATATCTCCCCACCAAAGTAGAAGTCGCTTCTTGCAACTTGTCGAGAAAATAATATAAGTTCTTCCCTGCACAATCGTAGGCCTGTCTAACAGCCAAAGGAAAAATGTTGTTGCTGATGCCGTCAGAGGGGGCCTCTAGGGTTACATATCGCATCAACCACATCGCGATGGAAGCGGCCAGAAAATGGTCACTCTCCAACTCGGGGCCATCGAAACCAACATGGTCGTGGCACTTGCCCTTTGAATGCTTAATGTGTCTAAAAAAAATGCCTCGCCTAGTCTATACAAGTGCACTTGTTCCCACCAGGCTTCACGGTAGTAGTGGAATAATCCGACAATAGGCAACTACGACTATCTCTGCAGGAATGGGGAGCCGCAACACTATGACTATAGTTGCCAATGATTGGCAAATGAAGTAGCATTGAGAAGTCCTCCAAGGTAGGGGTAAACCTACCCCAGCCAATAACAAATATGCAAGTCTCACGGCTCCAACAAGAAATCAAAGGAATTAGGCTCAATTTTCACCGATTGACTTAAATTAGACACCACATCTCTATGGTAGGAAGGATGTGGGTGGACTCCAAGATGTTGTAAAAAACCTCATTCACAAGAAAATGATCAGAATAGTCGAACCAGTCTGTAGAAAGAGAAGATAAAATCAATAAAAAAAGTAGGGGTAGTCACCCTTCTATAGGGGCAAGCGAAACAAAAACTCAAGATCTAGATAAGTAGCTTCTTTAAGGGGCATAGAGGGCTCCAAAACTAACGGGTGGGCTGGACCGTCCAACTCAGGAATGTAGATCTGGAGCCATTCAGAAAACTAATCCATATTAGTGCCAAGAAAAAAGGCACGGAACCACTCCTCTGGCAGAGGCATTGAGCCTGCGCGAATAAGACGAGAATTGGCCACTGGGTAAGTAAAGAGGAGGAAGAAGGTTGAGGAAAAAAGGGGGTGAAAAGGATAGTAGGTTATCAGAGAAGAACAATGACAAAGACCTTGCAAAACAAAATAGGGCAAGGAAATTGAGAGAGGAAGAGGGGGTGAGAAAATTTTGAGAAAGTAAATTGAGAAGTGGGGGAATGGGTGAGTGGAGGCCTTTATTTATAGGCAATGGGGGAGTGGGGTGAGTAGGTTGAGTTAGGCACGACAGTCAAGAAGGTCAAGGCACCTATGGTGAGTGTGGTAGCCTAGGAAACACGCCAGTCGAGGAGTCACCCCAATCCACCAGTAACACTAGTCAAGGTTTCATTCACATCAATAGTCATAACAACCAATTAGTAGTGGAAATCAAGGTGCTACAATGTTTGAGGCAATAAATTAAGACAATCAAAGCCCAAGTATCCAAGGCTCACGACAGTCGAGGAGCTATGGTCTTCGAGGTGTCATTACGACAAAAGATAAATGGCAAAAATTGAAACTCGCAGAAGTCAAGGGTGTTGCGATAGGCATAGATGCCAACGCAGAGCATGATCACTAAGGGATAATGGTATGCAAGGAGCTACAGTCTTCAAGGTTCCTGACAGCAAAGTAGATGCTGTCCTCGAGATAGTTATGAAATCAAAGGAGCGTAGAAATCCTGAGTTGCGCCTGTCTGATAGTTAGACTCTATGTCAATTGCATAGTTCAACTGAGCAGGCACAGTCTTCGAGAAAGCGTAGATGGCTAGGGGCTCATTTTGTAGGAAGACAAGGCATAGTCATTAAGGAACTTGGAGTCGCAACAACCTTGCGTCGCACCATTCTTCGCGACACTTAGAAACCTCTTTAGCAATCGAAGTGATAAAGGGGTCTTCAATGACTCTATGATAGGTGAAGAGGTGGCAAAAAAATCAAACAACTGCGAAAGATGAGGAAGGCACTTCAAGATAGCTAGTAACACACTTCGAGGAAGGTAGTGGCAGTTTTGGTGGAAGACCACGATCTTCAAGGAGCCTCGATAACCGAGGTAGCCAAGGTATTTGCCAGAGTAGAGAGCAAGGGGAGAACACAGCAAGCAATCATCAATATAAGAAGCAGGTTAAGTGTTCTTCATTTCAATCAATAAGGAGAGTTACACTTTAAAAAACAAAAAAAAAAAAAAAGAAAAGAATACCATCATGGTTGCCTGGCAGGTGAGGTAGCATCAAAAGGGTCGCCAGGAGGAAGGTCAAACCTACGCTCAAATTGATCGAGGTCAAGGTCAAAAAACTTCTCGATCGCCTAGTCTGCGAAGTTAAAGAACCTGTCTACAAATGCCTTGGCGGCCTCCATCTTGGCCTTCTCAATTTCCTTGAGTTTCTCTTCAACCAACCGGCACTCAGCAGCTTGGGAGTTATTCAGGTCGACAATCATAGCATGAGATTCTCTTAGCTACGTCATCAAAACTACCTTGTCGATTTCAAAACAGATTAGCTTGTCAGCTTGGACATCGAAATCTTGCTGCAAAGAGGCTAATTCTTCCGAATTGGAGCTCAGTTGTTCACATAGAAAGATCTCGAAAGTGGCAGTAGTGATCAACAGCCAAAAAACTCAAGCTCTGTGATCGAAAGTAGCTACTACCTTGAATTCTACAGCTAGACCCCAGTGCAGGAGCTCGACATTCAGTTGTCGTGCCTCTTGGAGTTCAGCACTCCTCCGATGAGCTTCCTTCCTTAGATGATGGACCTCCCCTCCAAGTGCACAGACGTGCATCGCCGCTTAAGGCCAAAGAAGGAAATTAAAACATTACAAGTTGAAACAAGGGAAAATCAAAGAAAAAGATGAACCCTACCTCGAGAAGTGTGTGGAGGGTATCACAGCTCCTAGCTCGGAAAGGTCAACTGACAGAATGACGAAGGTCCACCTAGGGAATCGATTCTATAAGTGTACGACTGCTTAAAGTCACGTTGTCCAATAGGTTCCCCTTAAGGTCGACAATTGGACCCAGAGTAGCATGACCCGAGCTAGGGCCTGTTATTCCAGTTGGGGAAGAACCACGCTGAAATGGTCCTCCTACTAGATCGCATGCAACTGTGCCCACCATTGTTTCTCCAGCGCTAGATATTGGCTCAGACACTGGCACCTCTTCAACGATGGGCACAGGTTCAAAAATTGGAACTTTAACAGCACCATGTACAACCTTAGGCATAAGAGGGAAGCTCAGTGTTGGTAAGGCAGTTAATGCCTCGATAACAATATTTGGAACCTTGGGCTCGGCACATGAGCTCAAGGCTAGGATTGAGCTGTCCTTCGCTAGTCTAGCCCTCTTTGCCAAAGATCCTGGGCCCTGAGCTCACCTCCTCTGGCCCACTTGTTCCATGATCACATTTCTTTGGCTGATCAAGTATGCAGGGACTGAAAAAGAAAGGCAGTTAGGAAGTAAGCTCGGTTGAACACAACAAAAATAGAACGGTAAGGAAAGAACAGCAAATACTCACAATTGCTCGGGATTGAAGCAAGTTCAAGATGCATTAGCTTAGTATAATAAAAGGGTAACCTAGCTCAAACGTGGTTAACCCGAGCTTGGGTCTCGCCAGTTAAGATCGGGTACTCACCTACAATACAAAAGAATAAAGTTAGACGTTGACAAGCACGGTAGGACCAGATTAATAAAGAGAAAACTCATGAAGATAGGAAAACTCACCAAGGTGACCACGCATCCCCCAAACATTGGGAATTTTGACCGGTGACATCGTCTAGGGCTCAAACTCCCAAACTATCCCTGATAAGAAAAAGTACCTCCTCCTCCACCCTTTAGGCTCAAGAGGGAGGTCAATAACTAGGATCTCTCCACCTTATCTCAAAGCAAAATAATTAAATTCAGATGATGCTATTGTTTTATGGATTCCGATGGTGCTACTGTGAACTCAAGGACGAGTTCTTTCCAACCCGGGGCGACTGATGTAGGAGGATCCGAGTTAGTTGATGCTGAGTTATCAAATGGCACGTTGATGGCACTGAAATACCTTGAGTTAGCAGATCAGCACGGTCAAACATTCAAGTCTAAGAAGGGTTGACACTGTTTTGATCATAACTTTTGATCCGTTTGGAGTTTTGAGGGCCATAATATATCAAATCGAAGCTCTCGACGAGCCCTACAAGAGGCATAGCTTATGGCAATGAGAGGCACAAACAACTTGCGTTCTACAGCATGAATGACTACCCCGCTAGGAAAAGCACAGCGGTTAGCAATTGCCTGAACCTATTCATTACTGATTTCACTATTTACGATGTCGGAGTAGACCATTTGCTGGGTGTCATGGTAAGTAGTGGGTGTACGTGCCATGAAAAAAGAGGAAGTAATAAGTTGTAGGAAAGGATCTTTGAAGCAAAACTCAGGAGCAAAAAAAAGAAAGAAACTTCAAGGTAGAAAAACCACTCAGTGAGGGAGCTATTTATAAGGACTGCTAGTTATCAAACATCTCATCTGCAGGGTGCCTTTAATGTGTGTAAATCGCATTTAATGCCATTGACACATGGTCGTCATGTAGGAAGTGGGTGCTGCTTTCCTAGAACCACTATCATCACTGACAGCGCACATTCCCAACTGAACTAAACTATCAAGTTTGTAGTACACGAAAAGGAATATGAAAGCTCCAAAATAGCCTTAGCAAGCAAGATAGTCCCAAACAAATGAAACCACCTCAGTAAAGGAATAGTTCAGCTCAAGGCACCCAGGTCGCAACGTAGCATGGGATAGGCTTTGCTGACCATTACTTTTAAAACAAACAAGAAAAAAGAAACAACATGTGCATGAAAGAAAGAGTGGGCAGGTAGGAAAGAACATTGGAGCTTCGTTAAAAAATGAGAAAGTACATTAAAAAGGAGTGACAAATACAAAACTTCAGATTATAACAGAGGAAAGCTATCAACAATCAGAAAAAAAAAAAATCAGACAACAGGATCTCTACTCTCAAGCACCCCAATGACGGGCTCTCTGCCTACACCGAACTCCTCGAACCTAGACACCTCAATTCCAACTGCCTTGGCACAGGCTGCCTCAGCGTCCACCTCATTGCCCCTCTTTGCAAGTCCAGTCAAGGTTCCCTCGCCAGCACTAGCTACCTCGGTAGTAGCCCCAGTGGTCAATTTTGCCATTTTCTTCGGCCCAATCTAAGGCACGAAGAAATCCAGGTAATGATCAAAATACGCATCCTCAACTTGACAAGCTCTTGCTCCTTGGCGGTCAGTTGAGTCTCAAGTTGAACATGGTGAAATTCCATGATTTACACACAAGCCAGTGACTGCAAAAAGAGACTGGAGTCAATACAAGCAAGAGATGAAAATACATCAAAATGAGCACTCATACAAAATAACAAATCATAAGGTACCTCAACCAAGCCCTAGATGGCATGCTTAGCCTTCCTCTCAAAGGGAACCAGCATGGCCAAATTGGGATCCGATGTAAGGACCCGCTCAGCCAAAGCATTCACGGCGGCCTCAAGGTCACAAAGGAACCCACTTCCCTGAATAGTTGGCTGAGGAAGGATGTTTTTCCTCCTTATTTCCTTTGGCAGAGACGAATGGGGAAAAGTAGGAGACGCTACTGATGGAGGGGGCCACTCTAAAGAGATCGCCTTCTTTGCGAGCTAGAGGAGCATAGAGGAGGAGACAACAACCTCAAGGGAGGCCAGATCCTGGCGTTTTTGCTCCAAGGAGTGAACACCTGCCCTTCCTTTGGGGGTAGATCGGAGCCCTTCACCAACCTCATCCTCTTCTTTCTTGTCTTCTTGGCATCAAAAAAAGTTGTCATAATAAGGTTAGGATCCATCGGTTTAGGCAGGTCAGAAGGCAAATGACCAGAAATATGAGCAGGAGGTGCATCAACAGGGGGCCCAAGCTTGTGGTTGGCAAGATTCTCCTCAGTTATAAGGTCCATAAAAGACTTCAAGCTTGAAGCGTCTACCTTGTCTACCTTAGCAGTTTCCTCAGCATCAAGAGTCGGACAAAACTCTGCAGACAAAACCAAGCGTTAGAATAACGATCAAAGGTTAGAGTTCTAGCTAGCTGATGTAACGAAAAGCATGACTAGTTATTATCCTTACAAATATTCCTTGGGACTCCCCAAACTGGAGGGAAGTGAGGGACGTCGTCGGGTGCTTCTAATACTTTCCAGAAGTCACCTTCTACAAAGAAGTACCTTCATTTTCATCCCCTGTTGGACGACGGGAACCCAAAAATCAAACCTTCGCCTTCATCCTCTTAGCAAAATAGAGGAAACCCAATGAAGGAGAAGACTTAAGCTAAAAAATGGAGGCAAACTCATGAATCATAAGAGGAGAGTTGTTTCCGCTCTCAAACCAGTGGATAAGAAAGTTGACCAATAAACCCAGTTGTTTGAAGATAGCCGAACTAGATAAACATTGTAAAATGCTAGAATGTCTGGAATGAAGGGATGAACAGGAAATCGGAATCCAGCATGGAAAGTCAACTCAAAGAAGCAGGTCATCCCAAGAATGTTAGAGTTTCACCTCTCATCCTCCTCGGGGGAATGGAGTAAAACAAACTCAGGAAAGGAATATTCTTCCCTCAGATCTGCCAAATCTTCCTCGTCAAGATGACTCGAACTCGACTCAACATAACACGTAAGGTCAAAGAGATCCCAACGAGCCTTTATCTTCTTAGGGGCAGAAGTAGAAGCACCCTTAGACCTTTTCCTCCTAAGACGATCAGAGGGAATGGGAGGCAACACTAAAGGAGCCTCCTCAGAAGGAACTAAGGTCGAAACCTCGAGACCCGACCCTGAGGCCTCCTGAGCCGGCTCCCTAGAAAGGAACTCAAAATTCTCTGTGAAAGACATAGAAAATTGGTCATCCCCAACTAAAATATCACCAGTAGTGGGTACCCCCTCCCCATCAATGAGAAAGGATGCCCCTTCCTTGAAATGGGCACTAGTAGAAGACAACGGGACTTCCTCATTGCCTTCATCCTCATATTTGAAATCAAAAACCACCCTCCTCATTATCAGCCCAAATTAAAGATTAGAGTGTAAAGATGGAAGATGCAAGACACAATCCATTAAGAACAAGGAAGTAAGACACCAAGTCTTAAGTAAAGACAACCTCAGCAGAGACCAAGAGTTTTTTTCCCCTTTTATACACAGCATTTATTATCACGATGGGACATGGAGAATAACATGCAGAAAACCGTTTTATGAAGATCGTCCTACAGGCGAGCGTGCCCCCACTCAAGCACGTCTATCACATCAAAGCTGGCACCGATTAACCAAACACTTCCTAAGGCAGCGCTGATAATCAGGTAAAATTGTCATCCGTAGAAGCAAACATAACCCTAGAAAAGACTTATTTAACCCTAGGCGTCATCCTCGCCAGAGCTTGGCGTCATCCTCGTGACCTAGTGCTGGGGGGAAACTAATAACGCTAGGATTTTGGAATGGGCTGCCCATCCTAAACCCAAATCATCTCATAGGCCAAAACAGGTGCACAACGGCCCAAGACCCCTTAAAAACCCATCTGCTCTGTAATAAGAAATGTTTCATAATCCAAAGGAGGGAGTCTAGCAAAGAGTCCAGCTCAACATAGCCTTGCTCGGTCATAACAAGCTCAGCGTTAAAGAGCTCGAGATCAAGGAGCTTGGTACTCACCAAACCCCGAATGTCCCACATCACGCCACGTGTCCAAGGAACCAGGGAACAACTTCTGGAGCCTCTAACGAATGTGTACTCTCTAGTAAAGGGAATGTTTGTGCACATAACCACTCAAGAATTGTGAATACAGTGGCATCGCATGGCAGATGTCACCAAAAGGACAAAGGAAGAGGGGACCACAGAATCAACAAAAAGGAAGAGGAAGCCACAAGAAACCTTGGAAAGATTACCCGTATAAATAGAATACTATCACACCACAAAAGAGGACCGTCAACTTCTTCATTGATATACTGGTATTCATAAAACATTGTATGAACAGGCTTTAAGCATAACAATCTATTGTAATCTTCTTCTTCAAGAATTATACACACCCCCAAGGAGCAAAAGACATCATTACAGTAGACGTAACTTTAGTCTCTCGGCTAAGGTGAACCACTTATATAATGTTTCTAATTCATTCTTACAGCTTAATCCACTGTCAATTCATATATTCACGCTATCCCCTCTCTAGACCATCAAACCATCGTTTTGAACATGGGCTAAACATTTCCGAGTACCATCAATTATCAGAGTAAAATGATATAAATGTCAATTACGGAATAGTTCCTGGATTCTTAGAGTAGGTTTAGCCGTTTAGGTTAGAGGAGAGGACCTTCACTCTTATGCAAACTTTTACCCACCCTCACTCCTCTGGGGCCAGCATCACCAAAATCGACCCATCCTTGAAAGGTAATTTTGTATCTGTCAGGAAATTTTTTAATTCAGAATACATTGTATGAAAGGAAGTGAAAATTTATATTTAAGAAAACTCATATATAGAAGACAATAAATTATAAAGTAGACTGCCCAGAGACGCCNGAAGTGAAAATTTATATTTAAGAAAACTCATATATAGAAGACAATAAATTATAAAGTAGACTGCCCAGAGACGCCATAGCGGATAGTAATTTTTTGCTCCCAGTAGACGTGTTATGGCAAAAGTTCAATTCATAATAGAGGGTCAAGTCTAATACCTCATGACAGAATAATTATAGAATAGACAAGTGCACATAAATGGAATTCAAATGCAAACCAAAATTGATATGAAAATTGTAATCTGAATGCAATGTTGCGTGCTACGAGAGAGAGAGAGAGAGACAGAGAAAGAGAGAGGCAACTATTGCCCTTTGCATGTAGAGCTTAGTTTCTTTGCTTTACAGGTGACAGCAGTGGCAACTGGCAATGGAAGTTGTACGCCGATGTGTGCGTTGCGGCCGCGATGAGGTGCAGTGGTGGTGCATGTCAGTGTGTATTCATGCGCATGCACGGGGCAGATGCAGGATTTTGTTTTAGAGGGTGCAAAATATGACTAAATACATTCACTTGCTAATACTAGAATCACTACACAAGTCTTCAAAAAATTAGGGGAGCAAATGCAATAAGTTGAACAAGGGCGCCCTAACGTAGCTCCGTCACTATACATCGGTATAACACTAGTATCAATATTTACAATTTTGAACAATGCAAAAGGGCACAACTCGACTAGCCACACTTGGTTGACGTTTGCTAAACACATTGAAGAACCTATTAGGTGGGAGAATTACAAGCCATTGAATTGCAACAGTTATTTAAACAAATTTTTGTAAAAAAGTATCAAATGGGAATTTCAACTTATGCGCTCGTTTTGGTACAACTGTCTGGTTTGGCTTTGACTTGGTTAGGTAAACACACTTGTCCATAACAAATAAAATCATCTGAACGGCTTTAGGACTTTAGTGACTAAACAAACATGGAAACAATACAATGTAATGCTACTTCACCAACTATTTCTTTCTTTCTCAGTTTTTTTTTTAACTTTTGGAAAGCAAAATGGCAAACAAAAATTCTTGTAACCGACCCCAAAAATATTGGGACAAGACATTGTTAAGTTGAGAATAACTAGTTGTTGAAATGTATCTGATTTGTCTATATATCATTTGATATATACATATATTATGTATACATTAATGTTATATATAAATAGAATCATAAAATATGTATTCATATTTAAAAAAATAAAAATATATATATTTTTTCTATTTTACCAAGCACCCAAAAAAAAAAAATTAATCATTTTTATTTTTCATCCATCCTACCAAACACAAAAGAAACAAAGTGTATAATTCCTACTTTCCTTCCTTTAAGAATAGAAAGTGTATCCCTCCTGCTTTCTACCTTTCCTATTTTCCATCATTTCTACCCAACGGAGCATTAGAGAGAAAACATGATGAGAAGATGAAAATTTAAAAAGGAGTGGCATGTAATTGAAAAGAGCAGTAGAATGGTTACTTGTTCAACCTCAAAAAATCTGAATGGATGAAACTTTATTTTTAATTTTATAAATCAATGTATGAAAGTTAAATAATAGGGGAGGGAGGCATCCCAAATAATACATCCCTACAATTCAATTATTTTATCTAGTTGGATGAATAACTAATGACAAAATTCAGGAATTCAATTATGCTTTGTTCGATACAATGGAAGAATGAAAGAATAGAAAATTTGAATGATGTAAAGTTGAAAAAATAGATAAAACATTATATTTTGTAAGAAAGGAAAATAGAAACGATGAAAAAAGTGGATTGATGAGCTCTCCTTCCAACTCACCAAAATTAATCTCTCCAAAATTAAGAGGAAAAATGGATGAAAAGTTAATTATATGTGTTAAAATATTTGATATATACATATATCATATTTATTAATTACATATTATGTATACATTAATTTTATATATAGATATAATGGTAAAATATGATTTATAGTTTTTCCCAAAAATATATATATATATATATATTTCCAATAAAAAAATACATTTTCATCTTCCCAAACAAAAAAAAAATCAATTATTTCTATTTTTCATCCCTCTTACTAAACAAAAAAGAGGAAAGAAATGATTTCTCCCTTGAAGCATAGAAAGTATATCACTCCCACTTTATATCCTTCTATTTTTTCATCCGCTCTACTAAACGGATCATTAGGAATGATTTTTAAAAGTTGAACACGTTTTGAGCAACGAGCGTACAAAATTCAAAAGTACTGATCATTGCTAATAGTTTTATAACAAGATGGTCCATAACCTATTTTTATTATTGTGTATAGCGATATAAATAGAGGAGTTTTAGTAAAAAAATTGTGGGATTCTTGGGAGTAGGTTTGGGTTGGAGAAGAGGACTTTACTTTTTTCTAAATTATGCAACATTTTACCCACTCTCAACTCCTCCAAGCCCAACACCTCCAAACAATGTACCATACATGAAAGGAAATTTCGTATCTCTGAAAAGTTTTCTAATTCAGTTACTTAACTAAAGATAATACCAAAGTAACGGAAAAAAAAATCTTTAAAATAAAATTTGTTATAGAACACCATTTATCATACGTGGACTGCCCAACCAAGTTATAGGGGAAGAGTACCGTTGTGGAGACCTAAAAAACCTGATCTAAAGATGTTGCAATAATGTGATACCATAGTGTTGTTATGATTGGAACTATTGAATTTTTTTTTAGAACTCTATTACGTGGCATATCATTACGTCAGTAAATTAAGTCAATTTTTTAGGTCTCTATTGCATTACTAATGTTTTTAGAATCTAAACAATTGACCTAACAATGTTGAGTAATTTTATTCAATACTGTTGTTATGAACATAATTTATTAACTGCTACATGGAAAAGTTGAACATGTTTTGAGCAACGAGCGTACAAAATTCAAGAGTACTGATCATTGCTAATAGTTTTATAACAAGATGGTCCATAACCTATTTTTATTATTGTGTATAGCGATATAAATGGAGGAGTTTTAGTAAAAAAATTGTGGGATTCTTGGGAGTAGGTTTGGGTTGGAGAAGAGGACTTTACTTTTTTCTAAATTATGCAACATTTTACCCACTCTCAACTCCTCCAAGCCCAACACCTCCAAACAATGTACCATACATGAAAGGAAATTTCGTATCTCTGAAAAGTTTTCTAATTCAGTTACTTAACTAAAGATAATATCAAAGTAACGGAAAAAGAAAATCTTTAAAATAAACTTTGTTATAGAACACCATTTATCATACGTGGACTGCCCAACCAAGTTATAGGGGAAGAGTACCGTTGTGGAGACCTAAAAAACCTGATCTAAAGATGTTGCAATAATGTGATACCATAGTGTTGTTATGATCGGAACTATTGAATTTTTTTTTAGAACTCTATTACGTGGCATATCATTACGTCAGTAAATTAAGTCAATTTTTTAGGTCTCTATTGCATTACTAATGTTTTTAGAATCTAAACAATTGACCTAACAATGTTGAGTAATTTTATTCAATACTGTTGTTATGAACATAATTTATTAACTGCTACATGGAAAAGTTGAACATGTTTTGAGCAACGAGCATACAAAATTCAAGAGTACTGATCATTGCTAATAGTTTTATAACAAGATGGTCCATAACCTATTTTTATTATTGTGTATAGCGATATAAATGGAGGAGTTTTAGTAAAAAAATTGTGGGATTCTTGGGAGTAGGTTTGGGTTGGAGAAGAGGACTTTACTTTTTTCTAAATTATGCAACATTTTACCCACTCTCAACTCCTCCAAGCCCAACACCTCCAAACAATGTACCATACATGAAAGGAAATTTCATATCTCTGAAAAGTTTTCTAATTCAGTTACTTAACTAAAGATAATACCAAAGTAACGGAAAAAAAATCTTTAAAATAAACTTTGTTATAGAACACCATTTATCATACGTGGACTGCCCAACCAAGTTATAGGGGAAGAGTACCGTTGTGGAGACCTAAAAAACCTGATCTAAAGATGTTGCAATAATGTGATACCATAGTGTTGTTATGATTGGAACTATTGAATTTTTTTTTAGAACTCTATTACATGGCATATCATTACGTCAGTAAATTAAGTCAATTTTTTAAGNCAACAACGTCGTTGGCTCTATAGTGACTCCAGCTAATGTTATGCAAATCCCAGGTCTTAACACTCTTGGAGTGTCGATGGCACGCATTGACTATGCCCNAATTTTAACTATTTGTTGTCGACCACTTGCATTCTGAAACAGATATTGTAATCTTAATTTTAACTTAACTTTTATGTCTGAAACAGGCATAAAAGTAAATGGGTTTGTCTGCAAAAACAATGCCAGCGCGGCAGATTTCTTCTTTGCCGGCCTAGCCAAACCAGGAGTCGTCAACAACGTCGTTGGCTCTATAGTGACTCCAGCTAATGTTATGCAAATCCCAGGTCTTAACACTCTTGGAGTATCGATGGCACGCATTGACTATGCTCCGGGCGGTCTAAATCCACCACACACTCACCCACGTGCCACTGAGATGATTTTCGTGCTTGAAGGTGAATTGGATGTTGGATTCATAACCACTGCCGATGTCCTCATATCCAAGCACATCATGAAGGGTGAGAACTTTGTGTTCCCAAGAGGTCTTGTTCATTTTCAAAAGAACAATGGCAAGGTTCCTGCTGCTGTCATTGCCGGGTTCAACAGTCAGCTGCCGGGTACTCAAGTTATTGCTGCCACACTATTCGGAGCTACACCGCCAGTGCCGGATAATGTCTTGACAATTGCATTCCAAATTGATGCAAAGGAAGTAGAGAAGATCAAGTCAAAATTTGCACCCAATAAGTAAATACAAACTTGTACTAGTTTGTTTTTACCTGACAAAACTTGTACCAAAGTGTGGCTTTGTGGGTTCAGAGGGTCAAGTGGGTTGACATTTGTACTTGTTTGGTTTGAATAAGAGTGCGAGATTTTTGGTTTTCAAATAACCAACAATAAACAGTGTAGTTTTCAAAAGGCTTGTCTTTGTATTCAATCACTGCTATCATATGGAAAATGGAAACTAAACTTATTGCTTACCTTTCCACAATGTATAAGACAACTTATTAAAAATAAGTTGGAACAAGCTAATTGAGTATTTAAATTTTATTTTTTTCTAATTTTTTTTCACAATGATCAGAATGTTTCACAGTCCCCCGACATTGGGACTCTTGGCTCTTACATAAACTTGAACATGTGCACTAGCCCATAAAATATGTGCACGAGTCAACCAAGTCATCCTTCACCAAGCTTGAACATAGAACCTTGAAGTATTAACTACTCTATTTCTGCCATTAAAACTGCCTTGATGGGTTAACTAATCTAAATATCGAAGTTGTAAAAAAAAAAAATTTCATTAGTTGGCAAGGCCACCGAAAATTAATGAGACGTTTTTTGTAAGGAAGTCTTGAATTCATATTAACTCATATGCTGCCTCATAATCAGAAAATTCGTTACAATTTGGACATGAAGTGGTTGAAGTCTCCTCTATTCCTGATGGTACCTCCGATGGTGAATTTTAAACGGTTTTTTTCCACCCACCAGTTAGAATAATTTTCCTGATCTTTTCTGATTAGCAAACAACTCTTGTTTTGCTTAATCATTGGTGAAGTATGTAGAAATTCATAACATAAGAAAGATTGGAAATAATAAAATAAATGAAAACAAAATAAATAGATATACGTGGTTTGACAAATTGTCTATATCTACGAACATANAAAGATTGGAAATAATAAAATAAATGAAAACAAAATAAATAGATATACGTGGTTTGACAAATTGTCTATATCTACGGACAGAAACACATTATGAACGGTAAGTTTGGATAGGTGTTATCCAATTGGCTTCGGAAGATGCACAGTTAACATTGACCTCCTCTGCCTTTAGCCTGCTTGGCTCAAACGGGTGGCATGTCAATGCTGGGCCCATTAGTATGTTTGCATATGCGAACTTGGCAAAGGCATCTGCCATACCGTTCTCCTCTCTAGGCAAATGGTGGATTTGGAAGTGATTAAACTTCTTCAACAAAGATTGGACCACTGACAGGTATTCTTGTATCTTTCCCCCCTTCGCTTCAAAATTCCCTTTTACCTGGTTAACTATTAGCTGGGAATTGCTATAAGCTGCCAGGTAGAGGGCTTTCATCTCAATCACTAGCTTCAAACCTGATATGAAGGTCTCATACTCTGTTTGGTCATTTGATGTTGCGAAATGGAGTAGATGCAAGGGAGTTTGGCACCTCTGGCCTACGAGTCTGGACTCCAGGGACCTGGGGAGCCGTCTCCACGGCACCAGGCTCTCTGAGGATGGTGCCTTGGGTTGCCTCATAGTGAATTGAGGCACTGTGTACTGGGTAGGTGAGCACAGGGACGCAGGGCACTCCTTCTTGGGAATCTTCTTCAGGTGGCATAGATTCGGCCACAAAGTCCGTAATTGCTTGCGCTTTTATGGCTACCCTCGCCTAGTATTGCACGTCAAACTCACTCAACTCGATGGCCCATTTGAGTAGTCAGCCAGACACATCTAGCTTTCATTGGATTCCCTTGAGTGGTTGATCTATAACAACCATGATGGTGTGGCTCTAGAAGTAGTGGCGTAGGCACTTGGCAGTGGTGACTAGTGTGAGGGCCAACTTTTCCAACTTTGAGTAACTCACCTCCGCTCTTTGGTATGTCCTGCTTAATAGTATACTAGCCTCTGGACTCCTCCATCCTCCCTGACAAGGACAGAGCTCACGGCACAAGACGAGGATGAGAGGTAGATATATAGGGTCTTTCCTGGTATGGCATGNGTTTGGTCATTTGATGTTGCGAAATGGAGTAGATGCAAGGGAGTTTGGCACCTCTGGCCTACGAGTCTGGACTCCAGGGACCTGGGGAGCCGTCTCCACGGCACCAGGCTCTCTGAGGATGGTGCCTTGGGTTGCCTCATAGTGAATTGAGGCACTGTGTACTGGGTAGGTGAGCACAGGGACGCAGGGCACTCCTTCTTGGGAATCTTCTTCAGGTGGCATAGATTCGGCCACAAAGTCCGTAATTGCTTGCGCTTTTATGGCTACCCTCGCCCAGTATTGCACGTCAAACTCACTCAACTCGATGGCCCATTTGAGTAGTCAGCCAGACACATCTAGCTTTCATTGGATTCCCTTGAGTGGTTGATCTATAACAACCATGATGGTGTGGCTCTAGAAGTAGTGGCGTAGGCACTTGGCAGTGGTGACTAGTGTGAGGGCCAACTTTTCCAACTTTGAGTAACTCACCTCCGCTCTTTGGTATGTCCTGCTTAATAGTATACTAGCCTCTGGACTCCTCCATCCTCCCTGACAAGGACAGAGCTCACGGCACAAGACGAGGGAGAATAAGGGGCGTAACAAGATAAGCCTTTAACTTTTGGAAGGCCTTGTGAAGGATCTTAAAGAAATGTATACATTTGTCTGCTGATTTTGAAACAAACCTACTGAGGACTACTATTCTTCCGTTAAGGTGCCAAACCTCCTTCATAGATGCTAGAGACCTCATCTCCAAGATAACTTTGATTATGTCTGGATTGGCCTCAATGCCTCTATTGTTGANGTCTGCTGATTTTGAAACAAACCTACTGAGGACTACTATTCTTCCGTTAAGGTGCCGAACCTCCTTCATAGATGCTAGAGACCTCATCTCCAAGATAACTCTGATTATGTCTGGATTGGCCTCAATGCCTCTATTGTTGACCATGGAACCTAGGAATTTCCTTGAGCTCATGTCGAAGGCGCACTTTTCAAAATTTAGCTTCATCTTATAGGCACTCAAGATGTCAAAGGTCTCCTGCAGATGTTTCACGTGGTCTACTGTAGTCATGCTCTTTACCAACATGTTGTCCACATAGACTTCCATGGTTTTCCTGATTTGTGCCGCAAACATTTTGTTCACGAGGCGTTGGTATGTGGCTCTGTCATTCTTGAGTCCAAAAGGCATTACCCTATAGCAATAGATTCCTTTTGAAGTGACGAAGGAGATTTTTTCCTGGTCTGGAGGAAACATGCTAATTTAGTTGTACCCAAAATAAACATCCAAAAAACTCTAAAGCTCGTGTCCTGTAATGGCATCAATAAGGAGGTCGATACGTGGGAAAGTATAACTGTCTTTGGGATAGACTTTATTGAGCTCTGCAAAGTCCACGCAGAGGTACCACTTCTCATTGGCTTTTGTTACATCACTAAGTTTGATAGCCAATCTAGGTAGGCTACCACCCTTACTGACCCGTTTGTCAGCAGCTTTTCCACTTCTTTTTCCATGGTCTGGCCTCTCTTGACACTTATATTCCTCAGCTTTTGGTAGATGGGTTTGTACTTGGGATCTACGTTGAGCCGATGGGTGACCACTTCAAGATTGATGACCTCTAGATCTTCGTGGGACCAAGCGAAGACATCCATATTCTGTCTAAGGAAGTTTACAAGGTTGGTGGCTCACTCATGGGAAAGTGAGGAGCCAATATAAATTCTCTTCTCTAGAAGGTTTTCGTCTGGCTCTACTAGCTGAAGTTCTTCTACCAGTTCCCCTCTCTCCAACATGCTATCATCTCAGGGATCAAGCACTTCTGCTTGGAGGGTCTCCTATAGCCTCCTAACCCTCTAGAGGCCACATAGCACTCCCTAGCAAAGACTTGGTCTCCTTTGATTTCTCCGATCCTACTAGGGGTTAGGAAACGGAGGAGAAGGTGGTAGGTGGATGACACTGCCTTTAGGGTGTTGAGTGCAGGGCATCCAAGGATGATGTTGTAGGCAGAGGGACAATCTAATACTATGAAGTTCACCATGATGGTGGAACTTCTTGGTGTTGTCCCTATTGTGACTAGCTAGGTGATGGAACTCAAAGGATAAACCCTCTCTTCCGAGAATCCAATAAGGAGTGTCGTAATGGGTTGCAATCTCTCCTTACCAAGGTGGAGGCTGTCATAGGCTAGTGTAAGCAAGATGTTGATGAGTTGCTGCTGTCGATCAGAATTCTCTTAACCTTGTAGTTGGCTACCATCATGGTTCAGACTAGAGAGTAATCATGGGGGACTTGGATTCCCTAAAATAGGAACAAACTCTTCCTCTACTGGAGAAGAAAGGGCACAATTCCACAGAAGTATGGGCGATTTTTAAGAAAAAATTAATTTTTAAAATTTAATTTTATTTCAATAAATGATACAATAAAACATGAATTTTGGTTGTAAAATTTAAAATATTTGATATTCTATCTTTGATTGGAGAGTATTTTTGGTCTAAGTATAATATTTTAAACTTAAGGGGTCTAAGTATTATATACCTACAAACTACAAGGGGATTTAAGTGTAATTTATTAACGGATATATTTACAACAAGAGTTTAAGTGTTACGCGCATACAAACCTCAAAGGGTCTATATATAATATTTTAAATGTCAGAAGGTCTGAGTGATTAAGTGATAAATTTTAGAGGGTATGGGTGTAATTATCCCTATGTTTTAATGATGAACAGTTTTCACCTTAAGAAATTTGACAACGACTCTGTTTGGATTTAGTTTAAATAGGTAGTTTTTAAGGGTTTTTCAATAAAGTAACGCAAGTTCGTTTGGATCTTCGTTTTTTTATCGGCTTATGCAATAGTTTTTGGGACTCAAAAAAGCTTATTTAGGCTGATTCAAGAATCTAATTTTATGAGATTTTTTTTTTGACTTTTTGGAGTTTTATTGTAGGTCTCACATAATTTTTTAGTTGATTATATTCATAAAATATTATTAGTGACTTAAAAAAATTGAAATTCATATTTTATGAACTATTATGCATAATCTATATATACATATAATAA